CTAATACACTCCATTTCATTGAATGACACACTTCTTCTCATAGAATCATCATGCATTAATCTGGATATTTGATGGACGTACCAGATCTAAAGACACCTCTATATAAATTAGTCCTCTCTCCTCCTATTAGGGTACGCAGTTTTATCCCATCACTTTTCTGCTACGTTAAGAGAAGGTCAGGAGGGAGAAACTAATTTAGATCTCACAATCGACCAAGCCTCTTGTGATCATCAAGATCAAGATCACTAATTATGTCGTCTTCCGCATCAAGTAAGTATTTCGTATATACCAAATTATTTATTCAAGATCCTTAATGAGGTTTACAGTATTACTATATTTTATTTGCATCTTGAAAATTCTCAAATTATATAGAGTCAAAGTTGACATAAAATATATAAATAACACACATCTATTTTTATTATTTGGTTCTTAGTTTCGATACGGTATGTGATGGTTCGGTTCGGTGCTCGATACGGATATTTTTAAAATTTGAAGAACCGCACCAATTATTTTTCGGTTCGGTTCGGTTCAGAGAAAAGTCAACGGTCAATGGTTTATTTTTCGGATCGGAATGATTTCGGTTCGATTGTCGTAACAGTTCGGAATTCTCCGAGGACATGAAATAAAAAAGAGAGGGGAAAAAGGCAAAAGGAGGCAATAAATGCAGTCACTGCACACTTTTACTGGATTGTTTCAGAGGATGAATAATTTTATAAGGGTGTGTTTGGTTCAATGGAGGGGAAAGGAGGGAGGGATTTTAATGGAGGGGAAGGGAGGGGAGGTGATATAAAACAATTTTACCTTGTTTGGAGGGAATATTTAGGAGGGGAGGGGAGAGAAAATGATAAACCTTGTTTGGTTAAAACATTAAAAGAAGAGAAAACAAAATTAAAATGACAAACTTACCCTTAATGTAATAACATACAAAAATTTAAAACAATTGAAAATAGGGACTAAATGGTCATTTTACATGCTATTAAAACACTTCCCCTCCAAATCCCTCTATTTTTGGAGGGGAGAAAAAATAAGGGAGGGGAGGGAAAATCACTTAAAATTTTTCTCTACCTCCCCTTCTAATTTTGCAATCAAACAAGGGAAAACTAAAATTTTCTATCCCCTCCTCTTCCCTCCCCTCCAAATCCCTCAAACCAAACACTAGCTAAAAGAGGAATTAAGAGTAATACATTTTTGTGGTGCCACACTTGAAATATGTTTTGTGTGGAGTTTGATAATGAGAATGGGTAGCAAGTGGCCAAAAGCACACCCATCACATTCAGATGTAACCCTCTCAAGTCTCATCTGCCCTCTCACCTTCTTTTCAAACCATCTCTCTCTCTCTCTCTCTCTCTCTCTCTCTCTCTCTCTCTATCTCTCTCTCTCTCTCTTTCTCTCTCTCTCTCTCTCACACACACACACACAAATACACACATGAATTAATCTTGTAAGTAATTTTAATGAACAAGTAAATACACACGTTCTTCCTGGACTTATGACATTTATTTCAAGCCTTTAGGACTTACTCGGACCTACGACTCTTATACACTGAGACCCTAGCTTCTTATACTTGCTTGAAGGCATCTTGCCAGTTTAAGGGAGGTAATCTCTAGAGTTAGAACTTAACTCAAGCTTGCATAGTTCAGACAATGAAAAGTCCATTGTCTTACCTATGTACTGATAACTACCAACTTCTTATTCTTTTAGTATTTTCGACACTGGTTCATCAAGAATCTTGGGCGGTCTCTCTCTCTCCATTTGTTATCGAGGTGGCTCGTCGCGCGATCTCCGTTACAACTGTTCGTACAATGATCACACTTGTACATAACGTATGTTATCTAACTTTCGAAGATGTTGAGTTATAGCTACAACTTGCGTTTCATAGCCATGGTTGGACAGTAGTATCTGGATGTTGCTCCTCAGGCCATTCCAAAAATGGATGCCTTTTTTTTCCTCGGTGTCTACGAGGTGACGAGCACACGCGCTCTTACGAACGAAGTCGCGCTCGTACGCCTCTACCGAGTTGCCCCCTTGCTGAAGGGCATATAACTCTCGCTCCATTCTCTCGCGAAAATGGCGCTGGTAAAACTTGACCTCCAGAATCTCCTTGAGTCAATCCCATGTCACCTCATCCTACTCGTCCTCCGTCCTCAAACAGTAGTCGTCCGCCAATCTCCAGAATTGGCCCACGACTACGGCATGTTCCCGCTCTACCGGTGGGTTCGGAGCTCTGCGTGGCGGCTTTTTGGAAAGCCACTACCTATTGAACTAAAACCATATAACTAAAGACGTCGGAATATGAGCAAAAATATTCTCAAGTCGAATCTTAAGGACTTTATTACGACATCAACGGCCATCACAACTCGTATGCCCATTAATGTCGGAGGCCTCTTTGTTGACAACCGACCTAGTACGACGATTAAGAGCAAAGAAACATGTAATACTAAAGGTTATCACTTCAACCGGATCTTACACTCAACTCCTTACAATTCGGTCCGAGTCAGACAAAAAACCGACTTCACACTAAAAACGAAATATATCTTCTAGAAGATCTCTCATGCCAAACCAAGATCCGAGAAGAAACGCTCAAAGCAGGTGACTAAGCACTCGCACTATTGGACCACGTGCCATGTTATAATCATCATTGCACGCTTGTCGGCCGATCGTTCGGTTCATAAAGCTACTTTATATATAATGTAGTCACACCTACCTCGTACACGAAGTCAACTACGTGCTACTATTAAAGTGAAATTCATTATTGTAACGGGATCGTTTGGACAATCTTCCATTATGCACGAACAAAAAAAGTCGGTTCATGTTCAAACCGACTTCTTGTACAACAAAATATATATAAAAATCGCATATTTCTTTCTTTTACATATTGATTACAAGTTATAATCGTTGAACAATTTCAAATAACAACATAATCATATATCAATTCGTCATTAAGCAAGCGGTGTGTGAACTAACTAGTATAAATAGAGACAGAGATTATTAAAAAAAAAAAACTACGAAATAGGTTGTAACAACAAAATATAAATTCAAACTCCCCCTATGAAATATATGGATTCACCAAACTATTATAAATTATTATATATATAAACTTGGAAACAAACACACTTTGACCTTTAGAAAATAATTTCACAACTTGTGTGTTGATAATTGGATAATTGGATAAAGCAGAACTTCTGCGCCTATCTATTTTCTCCCTGCACTTTTTACTTTCCCTTTTCTCACTTTCTTGCTCGTCTTCTGCTTCCCAGCTACAAAAGTCTAACCTATCGCACTTCCCCTTCGACTTCCTAATAAACTCTTATCCATTTACCTCGATTTCGCAACGATTCCTTTACCCGCGCGGATTTAGAACAGCGAGAATCCCTGTAAAATTATCGGAAAAACCCTTAGAACGCGATGAGAAGGCAGCCACAGAATGAACAGCAGGACTACGGATCCAAGATGTTTCGCGACCTATCTTCCCTGGTCCTGAACATCATACGATCCCCGGCCCCGCCGTTTGATTTCTCTGACGACTTCCCGGCGGCGCAACACCGGGTGAGGCCCGTGCCGTCATTCCAGCAGATCACGCCGGCGGGCTTCGCCTCCTTGCTGCTCGGGGTTTCCCTTACTCTGATGCTGTGTGGATCGGTCACCTTCTTTATTGGGTTTGTTATGATGCCCTGGGTTCTTGGCCTCGTCTTGCTCTTGTACTTTGTAGGTGTTGTTTCGAGCATCACCATGATTGGGAAAGCTCTTTTGTGTTGTGATTCTGCTCCTCCTTCGCCTAGAAAAAGCGCTGCCTGTGAGAACCCTTCCTTGCCCTTTTATTTATCTTTGCTCAGGATTGAATCTTTTGGGGCCTGACTGATTGAATTATTGATTGTTGCTTAAAGATTTGATTTTTTTTTTTTTTTTTTTTTTTTTTTTTTTTTTTTTTTTTTTTTTTTTTTTTTTTTTTTTTTTTGCTTTTGTCTCCTCTGTTGGGTTACTCTGTAATTGCTTGGCATAGATGGACCTGTAAGAATTGAGGTCCCCAGTCTTATATGCTTATTTTCCTGCTGGTGGAGATTGATGGTGATAATTCGTGCAGGCAGGCAGTGAGATGTGTTTGAGAGGCGTCCTGTGTGTTTTGTTATTGAAACTTGAGTTGGCCTTCCAAGATTCAACCTTTTAAAATTTGTTGCCATTCTTGTGTTTTTATTTCAACAATTGTGCTTTTCTTTGTTTGGTTTTTGAAGTTTCATTCAGCTGATTAAGATTAAGATGATTGGGGGGAGGAAGGTGTTGCTGAATTGTCTATTTGGCTTGTTAGCTAGTATGACCCTTAATTTTGCGTTATTTATTGATTAGTATAGTTGACACTTGCTATGTTTTGTGTTGTTGTAAGAGTTATGGGTATTTTTTTTATCTTCTTTGTTTTCCCCATTCGCCCGTCTAATTTCACTCACAACAAGAGCAATATACTTTGATGTTTCATATAGCCTCAACGGAACGCTTATTTGAGCAAATTTGGTTCAATACACTTCAAATTACTGCAACAATTGATTTGCCTCATATCTGGGAGGTGGGCTTCTTCAATCAACTCACTTATCCTGTGAATGTTTGGTGCAAGCTT